CTATTTGGACTTGTCACAGTAACCACATACTTCAATTTTATTTGAAGCCCAACTGCTAAAATGGTGAGGGATGGTATTTCTAAGAAAATTAATTCAAATGCTTTGGTAAGTCTTTTAACAAGGTTTAAATAGCAGCCTGGTTACGTGTTGGAAAAATTACTGTAAAAGGTCAAATAGAGATCACCAAAAAAGTAGCTTACAGTACTGAGATACGATCATTAGTCCCTTCCAGCACCCAGTGAATTTGAAAGAAAACAGCACGAGAAATCAGATTTCATAAATAGGACATCATGGGACTAGTTTACACAGGAAGACAAACAGAAGACCGATCAGTAGACACATCCCAAAGACGGTGCTCTGGCCCAACACCAAAAACCAGGGATGGGAATATACATGAAAACAAAAGCATTTAGTTTCATAATTTTGAGATTAAAAAAATGCTAAATGCATGTTGTAATATGTTGCTTCCTTCTCCTTTCTTCTGAGCTTAATTAGCTGAGTAGCCTGCACCTTGACCATGCTGAATATTGGAACTATGTTGTCTTTTGCCAACAATACCTCTATTTCAGGGACTAAAGGTGTCTCTAACCACCATTACTCCCCTATTGTTGTCCCATGTGGTGCCTGGCACAGGTTAGGTCCCCAGTAATTAACTGTGGAACCACTGAACCATATACTAAGTATGAAAAAATGCTGCTAACCAAAAGAAAATTAGAAAAAAAAACCCAAAACACAAAGAACAGAATATAAGATTAACAGATTCATACATATAAATCATGACTACATTTTAATTCTAGAACATAGGGACAGGGTCAGCATTGTGGTTAAGCTATCATTTTTAGCCACAGCCTATACCAGAGCCGTGGCTATTCCACCTACAATCCAGCTCTCTGTTACTGTATTAGGGAAGGCAGTAGATGACTGCTCAGGGACTCAAGCCTCTGCCACCACGTGGAAGACCAGGATGAAGTTCTTAGTTTCTAGCTTTGGCCTGAACCAGGGCTGGCTGTTGTAGCCATTTGGGGAGTGAACCATTGGATGGAAGAGCTCTCTCTCTCACAGTGCCTTTCAAATAAATAAATAAGAAAAAAGAAAAGAAAAGAAATTATCAAGGTGAATAGGTGAGGCTAATAAATAATATTTAAAATGCAAAAATAATTATCAGAGAAAAATGAATTATGGGCATGTATGTTGTCAAAATAGTTTGGTGCAGTGGCTATACCTCCACTGGGGACAGCCACATGTTCTACCAGATAGTCTGGCTTGGATGTGGGCTCCAGGTCCAATTCCAGTTCCCTGCTAGTATGCACTCTTGAAGGTATCAGATGATGGTGGCTCAATTACTTGGGTGCCAGCCATCCATGTGGGGGAGCAGATTGAGTTCCAGGCTCCTGGCTTCAGCTTGACCAGACCTGGCTGTTGCAGACATGTGAGCGGTGAAGCAATGGATGGAAGATCTCTGTCTCTCTGCCTTTCAAATACAATGAAAATAAATCAAAATATTTTTCCTTAAGCATTAGCCCATTAAATTGTAGGAGACAGCCATTTTTGTTTTGAACAGTGAACAGACATTTTCATTTCTTGAGTTCACTTAGGCTTCTTTCGGCAAGCTTTCTCTCCCCTGGCTATCTCACACAATATTATCTTTTTCCTCCTAGAACCAGATCTGTCACGACACTTATTTTTGTGTTTCCAAACTATCAGGATGCTTTTTGTTTTTCCAATCTGATGTTTTCCACCCTCTCAGTTATCATCTACTTGGTTAGGAAAAAAAAATCTCAAAATTGCAATTTACATTCCCAAGAGATTCTCAAACACCATCTAATTAAATCATTCGATCAGAAAACAAATTAAAATGAAATATCACTGCAACCCCCAAGAGGAAAATAAACTTTTCAGTCATGACTAGAACAGACCTCTAGGGCAATGCTCCAAAGCCTCTTCTAATTGCAAGTCCTTCTAACATCCTGCAGAACATTTTGTGACATTTGCAGTGTCCGGGATAACTTTCCTTCCAAAGGAGAGAGCAACCTGAGCACGCCTCTGAAGCAAAACCTGTTCTTCACAAAAGGCAACGCTTTCATGAAGACAAACTGTCGCACCACGTACGAGCCTGGGCTTCTCATTCACCCACGCCCCCATCCAACACCTACTCTTTGCAGAGCATGCCAGGAACTGTCCTGGTGTGCAACAAACACGAGTTGGGTGAATGGAATCTGTGCTTCTTGGCATGAAATAAAACCCAAGCCCAGAGCTTCCTTCTGCATGAAAAGAATCTCCAAGTGAGACAACTGCTGACTCCATTGAACCCTGTTGTCCTCTGAGGTTCCTGACTGACAGTCACATCTACCACCATCAAACGATTCCAAGGGCACTCTTCCCACAGAAGACTCTGAAGCCATACTAGCTGCACCTAAACCCCTGGACTACGAAGGATTAGTGGCATGACCCAAGAGAAATCTATAACCTTCCCCATGCCTTGGTTTTCATATCTGTTAGATGGAGCAAAGATCACCCACCTCATAGGGCTGTAGAAATTAGTGAACACATGTAAAGCATTTAGAAGTGGGCCTGATAGATAACAGCTGCCATGTCATTTTCAACTCTTAGTATGACCCCTTATTTATCGCGGTTCAGCCAACTAAGCTGCATGATTCCAATGGCTCTGCTGACCACAGTGGTTCTGACAATGGACTACACACAAGCAGCCTACATTAGTGAGGGTAAGAGTCTCTTTCTACCCTCAGCCTCTGAGAGCTGCCCGTGACCAGTCCCAAACTTTTGAACCCCCTTCTCTCTCCTTCTAAATGCAAGTCCCGCAGCGAAGGGGAAGATGAGATAGGCACCAGGCAGGGAGCTGCCACAGCTCCACCATCCTATCAGAACCATCTGATTTCTGCCTCATTTCTTGTCTTTCCAAACCAACTACAGGTTGAAGCAAGGGGTCACTTCTGAATATCCACAGCAGCCATTGCACATATTCAGGGGATTAGACCAGCACACGTGTGAACGATCTTGCTCTCTCTCTCTCACTCGCTCTTTTTTTTTTCACTCATCTCCAAAACAATACACAGTTAGAGGTTTCCTAGTAGAAAATCACAAAGGCTCCCTTTGAACTTCAACACGGCACTCATTTTCATGCAGAGCCTTATAAATTACACAACACGATTCGCAGCCAACATAATAGGGGCTCACCCTATGAGATGCTTACAGGTTAATAACATTCCCTCAATGCCTCCCAAAGAAGTACCCAACCCTCCTCCCCCCTAATCACACAGAAAGGCAGGAGAGATGCAGTTCCCAGGAACAGGTACATACACACACAGAGAGAATCTGAACAGAAACATCTCAAAATGTGTTGGCAAACTGTCCATGGGGTGGGGAAGGGTGGGAGCCACAGTCCTGGGATTTCCAGGGAACCTTTCCAACAGCCCTGGAGCAGACACCATACTTCTACAGCTGGGAAGCTGTCACTCCCGAGCCAAGGGATGGAAAATGACAAGGAAGAAAACAGCAGCAACAAGCACCCGCCAGAAAATCACCTGAACTACCACAGCCAGCGCTAGGTGTGAAGGGATAGGCAGGTCTGAACAAGAGAGTGGCAATGGTTCTCCTCTCCTGAGGAGGAGGGTTCTTTGTCACACCAGGCATGGAGCACAGTGGAAACGGCCAGCTCCTCTGATCGTACCCAAAGCTCCCCACTGGGGAGCAACTATTCTGGCACAGGGCAAACGTACCAAATTCAGCCGTGGCGGCAGTCCTCACCCGCCAAGCAGGCAGGTGCACGGACTGGAGTGCAAGCAATCACGTGGAAACCAAGAGACTCCTGGCTTACTCCTGGGGGAGACAGCCTTCAATTTGCCAAGCTCAGCCACTGCCACGTACTGGACGCAGAGTCTGGGGGCCTGCCAGATTGACAGGTGGACCAGGCTGGGCTCTGCCCTTAGGACATGTTCACACCAGAACGCAGGGCGCCGGGACGAGGTGGAAAAGGGAGTACGAACGTGAGAGACGCACGTGTATCCCGCAGGGGAACCCGAGACAGGAACGCCGCTTCTCACCGGCTCCACAGCCTGGGTCTCCTCGAGGGAGAACTCCACATTTCACCCTCCCTCTGGACCCTCACGCTGGCCTGAAGGGCACCCACCTGGCGCAGCCTCCGACTCCTGAGCTGCGCCGGGTCGGTCCGATCTGCCTGGCAGCTCGCAGGGCCTGGGAGTGACTGGCCTGCACCGGGTCCCCTGGGCAGCTCCGCTGGGAAGGCGCAGTTCAGGGCGTGTTCTCCCGGTCCTGAACAGATGCGCTACCGCAACAGATGGAGCTCACGCGGTGGGCATCTTCCCAGCCTTGACACCTGCTCCTAGCTAAGGGTCCTGGCTCTGCGAGATGTGGAGGGCAACCACTTCAGGTTTAGGCAGATCTCCAGTTCCAGATGCAACCTTCCTCATTCCCCGCATTTCCAGGGGGCCCTGGGACCAAGCACAGCCAGGCAGGCTCTGGGGCAATGCAATCTCCCTGGACAGGTTTCGCTCCACTGGGCTTGGCTCTGCTAGGTTAGCAGCCCGAGGGTGCTGAAGGCCAACCGGTCAGAGCCGCTGCGATAGTGGCCAAATGAGCTAGTTTGCTCAGGCTCTCACACACATACTCTAAGATGGACTTGGGTGCCATCCCGAGCGTCCGCGAGCAGTCAGCCCGGAGCCACACACATACTGGGACACGTGCTCAGCGCGCCCCCACAGAACCAGTAAAATCAGCTGCACACACCCACGGGGGCAGCGCCCCACGCACACTGGCGAGCCCAGCAAGAGCGTGCACCGCTGCGGACACGGACGGTCCAGCACACCGGCAGGAACGCAACGTGCAGTCCCTCACCACTACCACCATCCCCAGTCTGCTGCCGAAGGATCCCGCGGTAGCTTCTTGCAACGTATGCCGCCCCGGTGCACTCCGCGCTGTGCCCGGCCGCGAGGGCGGCCCAAGTTTCCCCAGGGTGTCCGTACCTTGGATGTGCTGTTTGATGACATTCTCCAGGTGGTCCAGCCGCTCAATGATCTTCAGAGTGTCCCCTTTGTCTTCCTCCAGCTTCTTGTCGGGAGCCGGCTCCTGCCCCCTCACATACACGCTGGCGATGTAGTTGGTGACCCAGCCCACATAGAGCAGGCAGATGATGTTGGTCATGCCGCTCAGGATCACGCAGGTGGACACCAAAGTTTTGGTCTTCCTGGTGCACACCATTCTGAACTCCCTCCTCCATAGAGCGCTCCCAGGGACCCCTTCTCGCCGCGGCCCCGCACTCCGCCGCGCTCACACCCCCTAGCACGCCCAGAGATCCGCTTGGCCGTGGAGCCGCCGAGTCCAAGTTTGCGGCTCCCGCCGCTGCCCACCCGGACGGAGAGCCTGACAAAGGAAATGAGGTGGGTTTTTCTTCCAAAATTAAAACCCCCCGACGCGCTCCCAGAGCGGTCACGAGTGGCCTGCAGGCGAGTGCCCCGGCAGGCACGTCTGGAAAACTTTGTCAGAGCCGGAGTCCGCGGCCGCGCCACTTCCCATCGCCGGCGCCGGCTGCCTCAGCAGTCCGACCGGCCCGCTGGGCTGCGAGGACGGCGGCGGTGGCGCACGGCGGCGGGGAGAGCCGCGGCACCGAGCGGCCCGGCCCCCTCCGAACGACAAGCGCCGCCACCAATCGCGCTCCGGCTCCGGAGAGGGGACGGGGCTGGGCGGCCGCCGACCAACAGGGAGGGCTCGAGGAGGCGGAGTCCGGCCCCGGGGCCCCACCTGCTGGCCGCCTCTGCCTCGCGCTCCCAAGGGGTGCGCCGGCGCCTCCACCCTCGGCCGGCCGCGCCGCGCCTCCTGCCCGGGAAGCCAAGCTGGCCGAGAGGGCGCGCCGCCAGGCTGGGCTCCAACTTAGGTGGACGGATGTCGCCTCTGAGGAAAATTCTACCTCCTGCTCTCGGAGCAGGGATCCCTGCCCTGCGGGTCCGCTCGGCTGCCCCAGCAGCGACGCTTCTGTCTGTGGTCCTCTTCTGGGTAGTAAGGTCACAGAAGGCTGGCGAGTATGGCAGGCCCCCTGGGCGTCCTCTGCCTCCTCCGAGGCCTCTTCCAGTCTCCGCCTGACCGCCGCCCCTCCAGTAGCCACCTTCCTGGGCGTCTTCGGACTTGGGGACTGCCAGGGAAACACTCCCAGGCTTCTGCTAGCTGCGCTGCTTAAGCTATCAGGTGGCTCTGACCGGCCCCTCTCCCACCCCTCACAGCTTCTCTGGCCCATCTAGATTTTCATCTTGATGTCTGCTTAGCTCTCAGAACCCAGCTGTGTCCCGATACCCCGGGTGTCATTTAAGCAGGACCCAGCTCATCCTAGATGCTCTCCTTGGCCCTGAATATCTAACCGGGCTTCACAACCTCAGTGGGGGAGACGCTCGTACTGTGGGGCACATCATTGGTGCGTGTAGCTATACTCTCCTTGAGTGAATTGCATAGGCCCTGGGCCCATGGTTACACCTGCTGCGGACAACTGTCCCTGATGGCACACACACTTGCAAGATGCTTCCTTCTGCTGAACACCCACGTCTCAGCACCTGAACAGAATTCCTCTAAAAAGGGCCCTTTGAAAAACACAGCTGTCCCTCCTCTGTGTGTCTGAGTTGCATTTTCCTGGTCTGGAGAGTCAAGGAGGCAGCTGTGGTCATGACTGGTGGGAGGGGAGCTCTCCCTGCAGTGCTGAGGCCCTGTAGGACAAGGGTCTCCCCACTGAGGCTGTGAACAGAGAAGCATGCAGGAAGGGTTGTCTTTGCCCATGGCTGGAGCACGGAGCCCTGGGTGTGGGTTAGGGCCTTGGAGAATGATGCAGGAGACACGGGGAAGCAGAAGAGGACATGCGTTATTCGTGGAGGGAGAAGCAAAGCCCTGGTAGATAAACCCCCGGCTCCCTGAGGGAGTGAACCCTGTCACTCCTCCACTTCTCTGCTGCAGAGAGGAGTTCACTCCCTGACAAAGGATCTGCAACATCTTCTGGGGAGCAGTGGCCCTGAATACAGCAAATGGCCAAGGTATAATCCTTTACATTCTGCACCCTCTGCCAGGGGGAGTTCTGCAAGTTGGCATCTTCTTGGGGTCTTCCAAGGTTAGGCACAGAAGTATACTCTTAATTAAAAGAAAAAAGCTCCATGTTAAAAAAAAAAAAGATTCAAGATCAGAACAAAGTGGATTGTGCATATTTTCTACCAGATAGCTGCTCCTCCAGGACAATGTGCATAAGGAATGAACACAACAAAGGGAAGGTTGTGGATGGGGTGTCCCCTCTGAAGTGGACCTGTGCACAAACGACACCCTGGGATGGAGCCACACTCCTCCAGCCTCTGCAGATTATCCATTAGGTAAAGCCCAATACCACCCTACACATCAAACTAAAGCCCCAGCTTGCTGTAAGGACTGCTGGTGGGGATCAAGTGAGATCACACACCACACAGGGCATTCATTGGCTCGTGCTACACAGTGGGTACACAGGATCCCCCGCGTTTCCTTGCAAGACGTGTTCCCTCCCCTCCCAGGGCACAGCTCAGCTCTGAAAACGCCATCCTGCCATTTGGCCATCCTTGGTTTCCACCAACCAATATCAGTCATCTGGGTTGTTATGGGAACTGACAGGAACTGACACAATAGGCAGCAAGAGGCTCATCTCGGTTAGTTGAACTTTTGGCCTTCTACTCTCAAAGTCTGTCTTCTCGACCTACTCCAGGCACTGGCTACCCCCCTAGTATTCTCAACTTTCTCCTCAAGACCTCTGATCCTTCACTTACAAACAAGGAACATGGAGTCTTAGCCACAAAGATTTTGCAGAATCACAAGGCCAAAGGAATGAGCCCTCATGCAAAAGCCCCAATAAATCACACCCAAGTAGAGATGCTTATTGTTGGTCCTCCAAGCCAGTAAGAAACTCTCGAGCTCCCAGGGTTCTGTCTGAATGTTCACTTGTCCCGGGCCCTGCCCAGTGTCACTGAGACACATAGACACAATCTGAACTTCCTAGACTCAAGATTGGCCTTAAGTAGCTGAAAGCACTCATAGACTGCAAACTGTTCTTGATTCTCAAGTTAGCTTAATTATCTGACCCCAAGTGTTTCCTCACTTTTCCAGTAAATAAATTCCTTATTAAGTGGTCCTTGCCACCCTTCTGTGCACATACACACACGTGCCACACACACACCTGAAGGGTTTATCAGCGGATATGATGCAACCTCATAGAGACTGCAAGGTAGCTCTTCAAAGTGACTCAGAGCTAGAATATGAACTCTCCCTGCGTTCCTGCCATCAGAGAAAGGTGAGGGCCTTAAGCAATATATGCAAGAAGCTGGAGGGTTTCCATAGGGGCTGCCCACGGCAGCCTTTGGACCTTACCCACATTCTCTACCCTGGATTCCAGGGTGAGTGAGTAGGAGCTCTGAGCCTCCAAGGCAGCCCTATTCATCCCTCCAACACTTCCAACTGCAATATCTGATGTCATACTTAGGAAAGATTAGTGACTACTGGGGGGTCAGCTGCCCATCAATGACATGCTTACTGGGTGCCCTGACCTCAGGGTTAAAGAGATCCTGGCAATGTTGGGAAAAACTCCACAGAGAACCGTCAGTGACCAGCAATACCCACCAGATGGCAGCACGACGCAAAACCTTGGGGCCAGAAGAAAAATTAGGTCCCTTAGAGGGACAGACTCAATTCCTGAGCTGGTTACATGGGAGGTGAGGCGGCCCAGGTCTAGGAGACAGTCTGCAGAAATGAAATCTGCAGAGGTGTGAGGTGGAAGGAGCAACACTAAAAACAAACATCACCAAATGACTTTGTATTCAAAATGTCCCTGGCCCCTGGAGCAGAGGCAACAATATCACTTAAATACTCATTAGAAATGTAGAGTGACAGGCCCATATCATATACTGCATTAGACCTGCATTCTAAAAAAACTCCTAGATGATACCTACACACAGTGAACTCAGAGAAGAAATACACATGAAAGTTTTCTCTACGGGCTCTCTTGGAAAAGAACCAGGATTGGAGGTAACAAATAGTCAACTCCTAAACCTCCTACCTGGGTCATACCTATACTGTCTGAAGTTTTCCTATTCAAATATTTTTTAAAATTTTTTACTTATTTCAGAAGTTAAAGAGAGAGAAGGAGAGACTGACACATCTTCCGTCCACGGGTTTCACCTCCCAGATAACCCAAATGATCAGTGTTGGACCAGGCCAGAGCCAGGAGTTTCAGCCAAGTCTCTCTCATGCATAGTGGGATCCTAAACGCTTGGACCATCTTCCACTGCTTTTCCAGGCTGGCAGCATTGAGCTGGATTGAAAATGGCACAGTCAGGAGATAAACCAAGGTTCATATGGGATACTAGCATCACAGGCAGGAGCTTTACCAGATACACCACAACACTGCGCCACCCCCCCAGGTAAATAAATAGTTATTTGATTTAAAAACTTTATTTCTCTGGTTATGCTGCAATCTTCTTTGCATTGGTTGTAGTCCTGCTCTGTGGGCCAAGACAGTCTGACAACTCTTCTGGGATAAACCAGTGGCCATTGCAGCCTTCCACACACAAACTACGACACAACCCGTGACAATGGTAGTGATGATTCTCATTGTTGGGAAAGTGGCCACTCCTTAGGATTTATGGCCAGCAGAGAAGACAGCAATTCTGTGAGAGGAAGATTTTGCCCAATGGATCAAACATTTAAGCACACAGACATATAACACACCCAGGCTATTTGTGCTACCTGGAGGGAGTTTCCTATTGGAAAATAACAGAAATCCTCATGGTTAGCATGCAGACTGGCCATGGATGACTCTCTGGTTATGGTTGTATATTTTATCCATGTAATGTTTTTCAAGATTGGCTACCCAAGAATGCTAGATTCCAGCTCTCTGCTAGGATGCTTGGGAGGAGACGTGTTGGCTAGGGGAGCAGTAGAGGGTAGTGGTGATTTATATGCAACCAAAGTCTTGGTTTGTGATCCCAGATCTGTGAATCTGAGCAAATTGCTTCTAATATCTTAATTTCCTTATCTGTAAGTGTAACATCTACTTCATGAGGTTCTTGTGAAGAGGAATGAAATAATATTTGTAAATTTTGGCACTGAGTTAGTATAAACATTCAACCAATAATGGTTTTAATAGTACTTAACACTTGTATTTAAGTAATCAATCAAGATGTTTATCCCAGTCCATAATTACATATGTTTTAAGCAGATACTCATGTTTGTAGCACAGGGACTAAATATCTATTTGGAATATCTTATTACT